CAGACTTCACTTCCTCTATGATCACCACCACTGGTGTAGATCTCCTGCAGCACTGAAGCAGTGAAGAGCTACAACTACAGTTTTGCAACAAGTCTTAGAGATTAACTGCACGGAAGGAGAGAGGGTGGCACATGCTTACCAGCAGATAAGTTAGCGATCACAGATATGTATCATCCTAATCTGTAAGACAGCAATATGCATTTTGACAGCTCGAGATTTGGACACAACTTAAGATCCTTTTCTTAAAGGAGCAATGATGATTGCTTATATCTGTCTTTGACAATTACCATCTAGCCCAGGTTTTTGTCAAGGCCAGATCCCATGGACCCCACACAGATCCCTTGGACACTGTACAAGTCAGTAATTTCTACTTTTTTGGATTTTTGAGTCCCATCACACCAAATTATATGTTTCGGAATGACCTTTATTCAAGCACCAACATATTCTGAGGTATATTTTCTGTCCAGGCTCTTTATAAAGTTAATAATTACCCCTATGATTCATATTCCCTGCTCCCTTAAAACTTTGTTGTGCAGAAAAGAATATAACAACACCTTGTTTGAGTAAAACTATATTTCTATCGAAAACATAAGAGTTATGATAGTAAGACCATTATAGTTAGCATTATATACTGCGAATGCAAATCATTCTAGGGACTGCATAACTCCTTCTTGTATGCCATCTGTAAATGCATTTTAAAGGACAAATTGTCCCTACCTGTTTTTATTACACTTTACTGCTTTCAGGAAAGTACTGTCTCCCTGAAATGGCTTCTAATCACGCCTTGATGTGGCACTTACTAGGGTATGTGGTTGTCTATCCATTAATTACATTCACTTATAAAGAACTAAATTAGGACTACCCGCTCAGCCTTGACCTTTGCGCCACATTTCAACGTGTCACTACTCTGTTAGCTCACAAATCATTAATTTAAACCTCCGAAATAGCCTTGATTTTTGACACTTTGCGATTTTAAACCAAAACAGTTTTGATCGTATCTGTAAAAATAGCATACTTTTCATATTATTATTATTACTGTATCCTTTAATTCCTACAGGAACATAGGGCGTCAGCCGTGCGTCTCCATTGCGTTCGGTTCTCTGGCACAGTCTTCACCTCGCTCCAAGTCTGCCCACACGTTTTCATCTCCTCTTCACATGAAATCCTCCAAGTCACCCTTGCACTGACGACCAACTCGCCGCTTCCCTTTCGGGTTACACTCGAGCAATGGCTCGTCTGGTGATGTCACTTGATGGCTTGTTTCCTCAGCGTATGGCCAGCCAATCCATCTCCATTTCTTCATGCCTATTTGTTTCACAATCGATTCCTGGTTGGTTCGTTCCCAAAGATCCCTGTTGCTGATCTTTTCTGGCCGGCCATCTGATCTTGAGTATTGAGCGAAGACAACTGTTAATGAAGGTCTGTAGTTTGTTGGTGATGCTCTTTATGACGCGCTAGCGAAGTATCTGATCCGTATGGTAGCACTGACTTCACATTGGAGTTGAAAATCCGGATCTTATTTTTGATGCTGAGTGCTGTTGACCTCCACACAGACTTGAGAGTAGTGAAAGCTTGTCTTGCTTTTCCGATACTTGCTTTGATATCCTCGTCAGTTTCGCCTGTAGTTGAAACGATGCTTCCCAGTTGGGTAGGTAAAAGAGGTTGTTTCCTTCAGGTTCCTCCCATTTATGCTGATTGTTGTCTGTTGTTGTTGTTGGTGGTGGTGGTGTTGCCCAGGAATTTTCATCACCTCTGTTTTCTTTGTGTTCACCTGAAGTCCTATCTTCTCTGGATGCTTCTTCTGCCAACTTGTTGCTTTTCGCTTGCATGTCTTCCAGTTTGTGGGAAATCAGACATATATCATCAGCAAAGTTCACCTACTCCAAGTGTTTTGTGTGGGTCCATTTTATTCCTGTCTCCTTGCTACCGGTTGTCTGTCTGTGGCTTTATCCAGTCTACTGCAATCAAGAAAATCATTGGCGGTAGTAGGCAGCCTTGTCTTACTCCTGTCCTCACTTCGAAGGGTTCCGTAAGTTTCCTGTTGTGGATTACTTGGCATGCAGCATTGTCGTACAGCTGTTGGATGAGATGTATTATTGTCGGTGGCACCCCGTAGTAGCGAAGTAGTTTCCAAATCACCTCTCGATCGACGCTGTCAAAGGCCTTTTCAAAGTCGATGAAGTTGAGATAGAGAGGTGACTGCCACTCCAAGCTTTGTTCGACGATGATCCGTATTGTGGCGATCTGATCAATGCATGACTTGTTTCTCCTGAATTCAGCCTGTTCCGGTCGAAGTTTTCCATCCAGGGTTGGGTGTTTGATTCTCTCCAGGATGATGCGGCCTAGTATTTTGCTTGGGATGGACAGGAGCATAATTTTGCGCCAGTTCCTGCATTGACTTAAGTCTCCTTTCTTTGGTAGTTTGAATAAGTATCCTTTCTTCCAATCCTCGGGTGCTTTGCCTTCTTTCCACACCTTCTCCAGTAGTGACGTCATCAAGTCCGCTGTTGTCTCTGGGTCCGTTTTCAATGCTTCTGCTGGGATTCCATCTGGTCCTGCTGCTTTTCCAGTTTTTAGCACCTTTATTGCCTTCAGGACTTCTGATTTCGTCGGGGGGTTGGTGTTCACTGGTAGCTCTGTCTCCCTTGTAGGTGGTGGTCGATTTAGGAGTCTTTTGTAGTGTTCAGCCCAGTGTTTCCTTTGCTCCACTTCTTTGTTGAGTGACTTTCCATTGTCATCTTTCAGCGGCTTGATTTGTGTCAAACGTTTGCCCGATAGGTACCTAGTAGTTTGATAGAGTGTTGCGAGGTCCCCTTTGACTGCAGCTTGTTCTGCCTCACTTGCCATGGTTTCATAGTACTTTCTTTTGTCTTCTCTGGCACTCTTCTTTACTCTTTCGTTCAGTGTCTTGTAGCTTGCGTTCAAGTCCTGTTTTTGTTGCTCATCGGTGCACTGGAGAATCTTTTGTTTCACCATCCCTCTCTCTTCTATTAGTTTCCAAGTGTCCGTAGTGAGCCATTGTTTGTCCTGTCTCTTCTTTCTGCCTAGAACTTCCATGCAGGTTTGACTCCACACTATCTTTAAGTTGTTCCAGTGCTTTTCGACGCTGACCTCTTCGCTAGTGTTGATTTGTGTCTCGGCTTTGTCTTTTATACTTGCAGTGAAGATGTCCTTTGTGTCCTGGTCCTTCAGTTTTTGAGTGTTGAACTTGGCTTGTGGTCTATCTGCAGCTCCTGATTCTCTGAAAGCTTTTAATTTGATTTGGATTGTCCCTTGTGCGAGATAAAGGTCTGAGCCAATGTCTGCTCCTCTTCTTACTTTTGTGTTCAGCAGGCTGCGCCTCCACTTCCTCGAGATTGAGATGAAGTCAATTTGGTTTTTGGTTCGCCCATCTGGTGACACCCATGTAGCCTTGTGGATATCCTTGTGTTTGTATACGCTGCCACCAATCACTAGTTTATTGAAGGCGCAGAAGTCGGCGAAGAGTTCTCCGTTTTCATTCATTTCTCCGAGAGCTTCTCTACCGATGATGAGTGCCCTTCCTGTGTTGTCTGGTCCCAGTTTGGCGTTCATGTCTCCCATCAGTATTTTGATGTCACCAGCTGGAGTATTGTCCATTGTTGTCTGCAGTTGTCTGTAGAATTCTTCTTTCTTTTCGAAGTCTGCGTTGTTTGTTGGTGCATAGCATTGTATAATTGACACTTTCCTTCCTTTGGAGTTGAATCTAGCGGTCATTATCGTGGGCGAGATCGCCTCCCATTGCATCAGGGCCTTCGTTGCTGTTGGTGACATCATGATAGCCACGCCCTCAGTGTGCGAGTGGTTATCTTCTGGGTGACCGGAGTAGATCACTGACTCACCCGTTGACAATTTGGTGAGTCCATTCCCGTTCCATCTGCTTTCACATATTCCCAGTACTTGAATTCCGTATCTTTTCTATACGCGGTACGTCCAACGTTTGCGTTACATTTTTGCGTGATTCGTTACATAAAATTTATCTTGTTGTAATCCTTGCACAAGTCCTCTACTACTTCCATACCTATAACTATTAACTCTCATATCAAATAGTTATGGTTAACCAAAGTAAAAAGCAGCGAACTCAATCCCCTGTAAAACTGATGACTAATTTTAAGTCGTTGATTGCTACATCAAGCAACATACTTCCTACAAATGGTTATAGTGAGCCACAAAACTCACTTGTATGTCGTAAGCGTCGAGCTGAAACTGAGGATAAAACTGTACTGACAGCTAGTATTAGCACTACTCCCAAAAATTCAGTACCCTCTGCTCATACAGAAACCCTCCCTACACCTTATGTGCTTATCGAAAAGCTCCAGCCTTCAAGCTCTGTTTCAGTACTATCTTCAGAAATAGAACTTCTAAAGTTGTCTATAGGAGAACTTAAGGCCGAGTTAAGGGACTTAAAAAACAATAAGTCAGTAGATCCTGGAATTTCCGATACCAATACCAAAATCTCCAATTTG